ACACTGGAGAGAAACCTTATGAATGTAACCAATGTGGTAAAGCCTTTTCAAAGAACAGTAATCTCCTAGTTCATAAAAGAACTCACATTGGAGAAAAACCTTATGAATGTATCCAATGTGGTAAAACCTTTTTACAGAACAGTCATCTCCTAGTTCATAAAAGAACTCACACTGGAGAAAAACCTTATGAATGAATCCAATGTAGTAAAGCCTTTTTACAGAACAGTCATCTTCTAATACATAAAAGAACTCACACTGGTGAGAAAACTTATGAATGTAACCAATGTGGTAAAACCTTTCATGAAACAGTAATCTTTTAATACATAAACAAACTCACACTGGAGAGAATACTTATGAATGTAACCAATGTGGTAAAGCCTTTGCAGATAATAGTGTTCTCCTAAGACATAAAATTTTTTGTTGCAAAAATTTCTTATGAATATAACTAATGTCATGAAATCTTTTTATATAAGACTTATCTTGAACAAGAACCTTTATTGGAGTGAAACCCTATGAATATAACCAATGTGTCAAAAACTTTGCATGCCATAAAAATCTTCGTGTATATAGAAGAAGCACACTGGATAGAAACTTTATGAATGTAACCAATGTGATAAAGCATTTTAACATAATAATAATCTCCTATGACATAAAGAAGGCATATGAATGTAACTAAGGTGGTAAAGCCATTGCATTTAACAGTAGTCTCCTAATACAAAAATAAGCTCACACTGGAGAGAACTCTTATGGATGTAATGATCTTGTTAAAGCCTTTGCATGTAACAGTCATCTCCTAGTATATAAAAGATCTCACACTTGAGAGAAACCTTATTAATGTAATCTATGTGGTGAAGCATTTTCACATAACAGTCATCTCCTAATAAAAACTTACTATTCACAATCATCTTCTACGTCATTAATGAATTCATACTGGAATGAAAGACTTTGAGTGTATTTACATGGTGAAGCTACTCCACATTTGTATAACCTTTGTCATCATGAAAGAATTCATACAGAGAAAAACTTTATGAATGTGTTAAAATGGGAGACCTTTGCACATATCTATATTCTACATCATCATAAAAGTTTCAAAATGGAGAGATAATTTAAGAATATAATCAATATGGTAAGGCTTTTGTGTTCTTCTGTCCACTGAATCCAATACAACTCAAACACATCAATACAGATGAAAAAAAATATTGTCATCCAGTTTGATGAAGGACACATAATGTTGAACTGTGATGCCTACCCATCCAATGAGCCAGAAAGTTACAGAGGATCTGAACTTGAAAATCATAAACATCTTTACTGTTTTACAACTGAATTATTTCCATCAGTCATGGTTTAGGGATATGGGATTTGTTTACTTCATTGAGGAAGTCACCTGATGCAAAATGTAGGTTTTACAGTCAAAACAATCATATCCATTTGTTCTTTTGTGGTTAGAAAAAGGTATTATGTTTTAGGAAAGAGAATCTGTGGTTTGGGTCAGTCATTATGTTAGGGGACCAGAAATCATGGTATGGAACAGTCATGTTTTGGGCAACAAAAGTTAAGTAATTAAAGCCAGTCAGCTATTGGGAAGTCTACAGCTTTCCTAGGGACTATGAACTTAAACTTATGTTCACCCTATAAATCAATGAAGGCTGGTAACTAAAAGGAAATACTTAGGACAAATTGCTTTTGCATGTTCCCACATACAATTTGCTTTTACATGTTTTGCATATAAAAGTAATCTTCAAATATACAAATGGTCAGATAGTAGAGAGAAACCTGACTCATGTCTTCAATGTGATAAAGCCTTTTCTTAATACAGTTATCTCCAAATACATTAAAGTATACACACTGCAGTGAAACCCTCTGAATAAGCAATGTGGTAAATCCTTTTCATAGAGTTTTCTTTAAAATCATGAGAAAAAAGTCATGTTGCAGAGAAACCCCATGAATGTAATCAGTATGGTAAAGTTTTCTGCTTCATGCTACCATTATATAAGAGCAAAAGGTTTACTGTGTGGGATACATCTTTAAACCTTTGCCTACCACAGCAGTCTTTGAGCACCTAAAAGAACTCATTCTGTAGAACATCTATTAGAATAAAAGATTTGTAAAGGTCTTTGACCCACCAACTTGCATTCAGTTACACTAGATTATTTTGGAGAAAATTCTAACATGTCAACAATGTACGCATGTGTTTTTTACATCCATCCTTATTTTTGTTTCCAATTGAAATCTCATGGACCAAAGGCATATGAATTGAAACAATAAGATAATCCATTTTTATTTCATAATTCACTTCAATTACATGAAATAGATCATCCAGTTGTAAAATTTATGTCTGCATATTAGTGCATTTTCTGAAACAACTTCCAAATGTGTTTACTTTGCCTTATGATCGGAGAGGATATGGGATCACTCTAAATTGTGCAACCTAAGTGTCATACGTGTCAGCTAAAGTAGGAAGCTTGGAGCTCACAACCTCTACCCGCAGTATGAAGCAGAGAGTGGTAACTATGGATGACATGCAGCTGAAAACTATCAAGCCCACCCCAAGTAACATACTTTCTCCAGCAGGGATACAAAACTGAAAAGGATTCATTTCTCTGATTTCAAACCTACATGTTTGATTTCTGTTACATGAAGGAATTCATGATGAAGACAACATTTTTAAATAAGACTGTAGTTGCCTCAACACCTGAATTCAGTAATGAATGCTTATACAAGCAAAACATTCATAAGTAAACGTATATTTAAGAATTTGCTTTAATTTCCCTTATGTGATAACAGTTTTTCTTTGTTTGTTTATGTGCCTGTCCATTCTAGTTTCTAAGTAGACTAGACCCACTGCTTTTCTCATACCAGGAATTATAGAAAGTTGTCAAAAACCTGACCTAGGTCCGGGGAATGAACTGGTCTTAACTGCAAAACCATGTATCTAGTACTGTAAATATCTTAAATCTTAATTTATCATCTTGATGTCAGGGAGTAGAAAAGCATTCATAGAAGAGAGCAATCTTATATATGCAAAAGAGTTTATTACTTTGGACATAATAAATGTATTTATTTCCAAGAAAAGAAACTATTTTGAATCTGTTTTTATCACAGCCTCAGAGGAAGTAATTATTTACCATGTTCACTTTATTGTAATGGAGGAGATCACCAATTGTGGTTGTGGTCTGAGTTTTGAAACATTGGAGTAGGTATTGAATTTGTTGTGTGTGTAGCAAATCCATTCACAGAAGTTTATTAGGTTCTGATATTCCTTCTGTTGCAGATGTTCATAATCCATTTCCATTTGGTGAGAGTTATTGTTCTGCTGCAATGTATAGAATGGAATCCCCATCCTCTATGTGGTCCATTGCTTATTTATATCAGGCCATGTGAGATCATAGTTTTCAAGGAAGGGTCTATGAGAACTTGTACTTTTTTATGTTTTCACAAATTCATTTTGGATGTTTATTTTTAAGCCTTGCTTGGATATCAACAATTAAGTGATGCTTAGTAATATGTGTGTACATATGTATGTATATATTGTTTGAAGTTTCATGCTTCTAAATGTTCCCATATTTACTATATGGCACATCATCTTGAAATATTGCCTTCTTAGTGTCTGCTTTGAAACACTGCTAGGTAGAGTCTTTCAGATGCCTTTTGTGGTAGACTCCTGTCATAAGTTCAATGCACATCCCATTTGTCTTTCTAAATGAGGATTAATCACCTTCGCCTGTGTCCACTTTCTTGATTATCTTCTTTAGGTGTGTAGATTTCATTATGTTTATCATATCTTGTAGGTCTATATAAGCGAGTATATACCAAGTTTGTCTTTCTCCTTCTGGGATACTTCACTCAGAATAATCTTTTCTAGATCCCACCACTTGCCTGCAAATTTCATGATTTCCTCCTTTTTGATTGCTGAGTAGTATTCCATTGTGTAAAAATACCACAATTTCTGTATCCATTCCTCCGTTGAAGGACATCTGGGTTGTTTCCAAGTTCTGGCTATTACAAATAAAGCTGCTACGAACATGGTTGAACAAATGTCCTTGTTGTGTACTTGAGCAAATTTTGGGTATATACCTAGGAGTGGTACAGAGTGCAGGGAATCATATGAAAGAAGGGAAGTTAGTATGATATGGAAAGAATAGGAGCTCCACAAGGACCAAATATATCTGGGCACAGGGTCTTTTCTGAGACTGACACTCAACCAAGGACCATCTATGGATATAACCTAGAACTTCTGCTCAGATGTGGCCCGTGGTAGCTCAGTAACCAAGTAGTTTTCCAAAGTAAGGGGTACACGGACTATTTCTAACAGGATCTCAAGGGCAGGCTGTTTGACCCCTCCCCCCCAGGGGAGGAGCAGTCTGTTAGGCCACAGAGGAGGACTTTGCAGCCCTGAAGATACCTGATAAAACAGGGTCAGATGAAATGGGAGGAGGTCCTCCCCTATCAGGGAACTTGGAAAGGGGCAGGGAGGAGACCAGGGAGGGAGTGTGGGAGGGAATGAGGGAGCGGGATACAGCTGGGACACAGAGTTAACAAAATGTAACTAAAAAGAAAAATAAAAAAAAATAAAAAAAAGAAATATTGCCTTCTTAGATATTTATCTAGAGTTGATAGTTAATGTAACAGCAATGAGATTTATTTCAAAAAACTGTGTTGTGTGGGTAACGGACTATTCATTCTTAGGCTATTACAGATATGTGATGAGTGTGTGATACTTTATGGGGTGTATGTTGGTCATGGTTATATGATCTTCAAGGTTATGTTGTCAATTTTGCATACCACAATCTCTTCCCACTGAGCTCATTGAGATGCATAAAACTTAGTTGAAACATTACATCAGTACAGTATTGTCTTTTATTCAGAGTATGATTATATTGTCATCTGAGGATGGAAGAAAATGAAATGATGTGAATAATAAATGCTACTTGCAAATGAAAATTAT